GTACAAGACAGCAGGCAGTGGTCTCTCTAAGCAGGGTTGACAGTAAGGCTATAATACAACTCCTCTATTGAGCACCCAGCTCTTTGATCCACGGACGGCCCCTATAACCTAATCTAAGCATTGTGCCAGCACCACTCCCTCAGTCTCTCTCTCCCTCCCCTCTACTCTCCCCCACCACTCTCCCCTCCACTCTCCTCCCTGTGTTTAGATCCGTCAATGTTGGTACGACTGCTTGACAGGGAAGATGGGGTGAGGAGATGGGGAGAAGGGAAGGAGGAGAAGATTGAAGGGACCGATATGTCATTAAATATGATGAAGTGGAAAGAGGAAGAAGGAGAAGGAAGATAGGGAGGAGGAGAAGAGCAGGAGGAGGAGGAAGAGGGGGAGGAGGAAGAGGAGTAGGAAGAGGAAGAGGGGAGTAGGAAGAGGATGAGGAAGAGAGGAGTAGGAGGAGGAGAAAGAGGAAGAGGAGAAGAATATAAGAATGACCAAAAGAAGAAGTAACAATATGAAAGATTGAAGAAGAGGGATAAGATGATGAACAAGAGGTCTAGGCACAGTGCACTAAACAGGGAGAGTACACACAACACCAAGAGGACTAACTGCGAGAAAACAAAGAATAAAAACAGAGAAGAATAACGATACTGAAACAAAAGTGAGAACCAGGAATAGACAAAAACTGATAAGGAATAGGAGAGAAATAGAGGAATACTAACCTGACAAGGAAAGAATACTGAAGCGAATACTATGTGAACGTAACAATGGTAGAGGAGATGATGTGATGGCATGAAGAGCCAGCAATAATGTCCAGCAGAGAGAGATACTAGACAACACCCAGAGAACGTTGCGTTTAGCGTCAATGGTAGAGGACATGATGTAATGGCACGAAGAGCCAGCAATAATGTCCAGCAGAGAGAGATACTAGACAACACCCTGAGAACGTCTAGCGTCGACACAGAGAACGTGAGGTGAGGTATAATTATCAGCACAAAACAGTGACCCACAACGACTATATAGCGACATTGAACGACCAGTTCCGTCATTTAACTTACGGATGACCGATTAGTGAAGTAGATTTTGGACTCTTTGGTAATGTATCATAACATTTTGACTGAGCTTCTCTCCTGTTCCACTTCTTCCCTCCTTTTCCTTCCTGTTCCTTCTCCTCCACAGGATGGAGGAAGCGTGGAAGGCCAGGCAGAAGCTCCACCAGGAAGGAAAATGGGCGGAGCTGGTTTGGCATTATATATTGAAGTGTGTGGTGGCGTGGAGATGTCTTCCCCCTGTGGGCGTGCGCGCGCCGGTATGGGCGTGGTGCCACCACGTGCCTAGCCTTCACAACAGCAGTCTAGCCCTCCTCTTGCTCCTTCTATCCTTACTAACATGTGCAATGTTGTGCTTGAGGACTTAGAATGTACGATAACCAGAGTTTGTGAGCTAGGACTGGTGGGTAGAGCAGACGGATTCGCTTCCTGCAGGGTTGGAGTTCGATCCCCGATAGACCAGGTGGTTGGTGTATCTTTTCCTCCACACCGTCCTCATATCCCAGCTTCTGATCCTCGTATTCCAGCTTCTTGTCCTCGTATCCCAGCTTCTTGTCCTCATATTCCAGCTCCTTGTCCTCATATCCCAGCCCCTTGTCCTCATATCCCAGCTCCATGTCCTCATATCCGAGCTCCTTGTCCTCATATCCCAGCTCCTTGTCCTCATATCCCAGCTCCTTGTCCTCATATCCCAGCTCCTTGTCCTCACATCCCAGCTCCTTGTCCTCACATCCCAGCTCCTTGTCCTCACATCCCAGCTTCTTGTCCTCATATCCCAGCTCCTTGTCCTCATATCCCAGCTTCTTGTCCTCATATCCCAGCTTCTTGTCCTCATATCCCAGCTCCTTGTCCTCATATCCCAGCTCCTGATGCTCATATCCCAGCTCCTTGTCCTCATATCCCAGCTCCTTGTCCTCATATCCCAGCTCCTTATCCTCACATCCCAGCTCCTTGTCCTCATATCCCTTCCAAGAGCTATATAGCCATAATGGCTTAGCGTCTCTCCTTATAATTATCATACCTATAGATTACAACACGAACATCAACATGTTTTCAAACATACAGCAACAGTCTGCTTGGTCATGGGTGTTGATAGAGCACAACGGTGGTAGGGGAAGGCAGGGTACCCTCCACGGTGGTAGGGAAGGCTGGGTAGCCTCCACGGTGGTAGGGGAAGGCAGGGTAGCCTCCACGGTGGTAGGGGAAGGCAGGGAACCCTCCACGGTGGTAGGGGAAGGCAGGGTACCCTCCACGGTGGTAGGGGAAGGCAGGGAACCCTCCACGGTGGTAGGGGAAGGCAGGGAACCCTCCACGGTGGTAGGGGAAGGCAGCGCACCACATCACAGAAGGAAATAAGTTTCCTCCTATCAATATTTTCTGGAGCCATTAAACCATCACTCTTCACAATACTGGAAGTTTATTAACCTTGGGGTAGTAAATCCTGGCACTCTCTGGAG